TTTTTTTTGCTTTGATGATTTAAATTTTGTTTCAGAACAATTTTTCACCGTATTTTTTTTTCAACACTTTACTGGTTTTTTTTAAGCGGGGAGAGGTGGAAGGGGGGAGAACAAATAAAGATGAAGAAAGAATAAGCCGTTATGCTTAAAACAAATCAACAAACAAACCTGTTTGAAAATCATATCGTAGATGTTGCAACCCAAATTTTGTCCATCTGGGCCAAGCACCTTCCAGGAACGCTGCAGCAGGGCGATATCAGAACCAGTGAACGGATACCAGGGATCAAAGGTGCTGAATTCGGGTAATGGTAGCTTAGAAAATAGCGGTAGGGTGCACATGGATTCGATTATGGACTGGTGAACAATAAATGCAAAAACTCAACAGCTTTCAGTTAGTTTGTCACTGCCAAGCCCCAAGCCTATTCCAACTAAGTCTTCCTACCTTTCCCCTGCTTTGTTTTTTTTTTTTTTTCTTTTGCTTCCGCATTTAACCTCGTAAATATTGAGTGACAATAAAAAAAAAAAAAATTCGTCGTGAAACTACGGCTGCTATGCACATGATTTTACTCTTTACATCATTCCTTTGGCTAGTTTCTTTTTCTGCTTTATCGTTTGCTTTTTCAGAGCAGAATAAGCAAAAGAAAAAAAGTTAAATAAAAAAATATTTTTGGCTTGATTACTGGAATCCTCTCTTGAGTGTGATTTTTAATATTAAAAGAAAAAAAGAATTTCAAACAACTGCTATGAATTTTGTTTTCTTTTTATTCTGTAAAAAAATGAGTGTAAAATTTGTTTTTGTTTAATTTCATTTAAAAACAAAAAGGTTTTTTTTTTAAATTATTAAAAATATTGTTAGCTAATGAACAGAAGCGAAATTTTTGATTAAACTTATTTTATTTATTTTTCACAACATTGTTTCTTCATATCCTGTTTTCACCAATATTTTTCTGTTTGATGTGGGAACTGCAAGAATAAAAAATCTATTGTTTTCTATAAAATTTTTCATTTTTGGACGCTAAACAAATGTCCATAAGGTGTAATTTTATAGTAGTTTTCCTGTTCAATCTTTTTTTTTTCTATTCTTTTATCTGCAATTTTAGTCATTCATAGTTTCCTTTTTTTCTGCCGTGTTTAATCAAATATTATTCATGTGGTCATCAGTTGGTTAAACTATAGTGTGAAAAAAAAAAAAAAACCATTTTCTCTGCCTAAACTATAGCAGTTGTAATTGTCAAAGTTTGGCTGATTGGATATATAATGAAACAACAGAAGTATAGAAAAGAAACAAGAAAAAGATGGAAAAAATTTGAACATTTGATCTGTTTGAGAACGGACAAAGCGAAAACAACAAAAATGCAAAGCTGTAAAATTGAAGGCTGATTTATTTGTAGCGATTACATCGTTTTTCAGTTTCCGTTCCATTTCATATCACCACAATTTTTTACAGCGAATGGAAAAGTATAAATAAAAATATATGTGGACAAAATTTTTTCAGTTCTTCTGCCTTTCCTGCTTCTTCTTTCCTAAATCTTTCAGTATGACAAAAAAAACAAAAACGAAATGTGCATTTCCTTTCTCTTCATTTCACAAAATCAACAAAAAAAAAGTTTCCATTTTGGATGATGCCAAATATTTGTAATTCTGTTCTGTTTCCATTACAGATGCCTAAAAATCCGTTGTCGTATCTGTCCAGCCAACTTACTCATTCACTCATTCACTCACTTATCTATCCATCTTAAAAAAGATGGAACAAAAAAACAGTCACGAGCAGAAATTAGGCTCCAACTTTGCTCTTCAAACTTTCAAGTACTACAGGGGACAAAAAAGAAAAAAAAAGCAAAGCTTTTCTTGCTGCTGGCTTCCGCTCCCTTTTTTTTCTTCTGCTTTTTTCAACATATCCAATTTACAATATGCACAGTGGGAAAACTTTTTTGGAACAAAGAAAATTAATTTTTCATACAAATTTTGTGAAAATTTTTAATAAAATAAATTTTTCTTAAACAACAGGATTTTTGACAATTACAGCTGGGTTTTCTTTGCCATTTTTCATTTTTTTTTTATTTAACAAGGAATGTTTTTTTATAAATTAAAGGTCACAAAAGATAAGATAAACAGTGTAGAACAAGTTGAACATACGGTTTATGACGCAACCGAAGATGGCTAAAAAGTTTTTCTTCCGGTTAATATTATTACTGCTACTACTATTTTGATAGTTATAAAGATGACGACTCAAACGATGGGCTTAAGTAGGGATTAGGGAAATGCGGTGGATAAATTGATGATACAATCAACTATAATTCCATAAATGAATGACCAACTATTTTCAAAGATGATATCATGGTAATAACAACAGCATTAATAGTAGTTGAAATCAAAAAAAAAAAAAAAAAAA